TGTGTGTGTGTGTGTGTGTGCATAGTATGATACATTAGTATTATTATGAGAGAAAAAAGTTAAGTATGGGCGAAAGGAAGACGATAAGGCTTTTGTAAACAAGTTGGTCTGTCCTATGAATGAATGAATGAATGGTGGACAATGGCGGAAGTGTGTGACAATGATTGTTGTAAATGTGTTAAGTCAAGTTAGAAATCTGATTCGAAAAGAATTTTTAAGTTAAATTTATTTAGAAAAGAATTCTTGAGAAGAAATTTCCGTAAGGGAAAAAAAATATACTGATGTTATACAACCAAAAAACTTTGAAGGAAATTTTTTTAATTTTTCATCGAAAAATACAAAAAAAAATAGTTGGAGGGAAGGAACTTTGGAAAATATTGTAGAAAAAATTGCTGAAGAAAATCTGATTTAATTTTAAGAGATTAAATTTATACTTTATATATGTTAAAGTATCAAAAGAACAAATTTGTTAATGATAATTTCAATGTTATGACCGAGTTTATGTAAATTCTACAATTGTTAGAAAACATTTAAAATTCATATTGAACAAATGATAAAATTCAAAAATTAAAGAATATAAATGTGTTATAATTTTTTTGACAACAAGTAATTATTATTTGTGAAAAATATTCGAACTAATTTAATTCCATGCATCTTCAAACATTCATTAACAACTTTTTAATAATTTTGTGACAAAATTATTACAGATTTATTACCTATAAGAGGGAAAAAAAATGGAATAATCGTGATATTTTACGCCAATTAAAAATATTTTTTGTATCAAAAACGGTGTTCAAATAAAGCAAAAAGAATTTTCAATGATTATTAAAATGCAATCGATAAAAAGACATAATACACTTAAATTTCTATTTGTCAACATTGTTCTGAGAAAGACAGAAATGGATGGGAGAATAAAAATTAAATTTTATAAAAAGAAAAAGTATGAATACTTTGACAGAAAGCTTTTTAAGGATAAAATTTTTTTGAAATGAAAATGAAAGGAAAAAATTTAGCTGTTTATCATTTTGTTTTTTAAACATGGAAAATCTTGGTTGAACAAAGAAAGATCAATCACATATGAATAATATTAGACGACAATGATAGATAAGCATGTCAATCATGTTAAATTTTGTTATGATTGATATTGTTTGAAATTAATGAGAAGGAATTTACAATGCAGGAAAAAAAAGAAAGCAAAAATTCAGAAATTAAATTTAATGCAAAAATTTGAGCAAAATTCATATTTCAGAATAATATTTTCACAATACTACCATTTTTTTTTCATCAAATTAATACTTCAGAATGAATTGTGTTAAGGTAATGTAATTTCTTAACTTATTGTTAATAAATTTTTCTCTATGATGTCTGTCTTCATACATTACAGATACATTTAAAAAAGAAAGAAATCATTTAACAGTGATAGGAATAATATATTTCATATTATTGATAATTTTTTTAGCTTACTGTAATATGAATTAATATGTCATCATCAATAATTTATTAAACGTAGGAAATGAAACTGATGAAATATTGCAGTATCTATAAAATATCACAGTATATTTAGAGAGAGTACTACAGTACTAACTGATAATTAATATTTGATTATTACAAGATTAAG